AATATTTTTCCAATTTTCTAAATCTTTATTTGTATCACTAATTTATTATAATTATTGTCTTTAATTGTGGAACATTTTGCCGACACCCAGATCCCCAAGTATTTCACTTTCTTAGTTATTTGCATTCTGGTTGCTACTTCCAGTTCCTCTTTTTGTTTTTTTGTCATGTTCTTGGTTATCATTTTTGTTTTTTCTTTATTGATCTTTAGTCCTGCCACTTTGCCATATTCTTCTAATTTTTGAATTAATTTCACGGTGGATTCTAATGGATCCTCTAGAACAAATTCTAAGTCATCGGCATAGGCTTGGGCCTTATATTCTTCATTTTGGAGTCTTAAACCTTTTAGGGAACTTGGAGGTCATCTAGTCCAGCCCCTTGCTTAGGCAGATAACCCTACACCACTTCAGACAAATGGTTATCCAACATCTTCTTAAAAACTTCCAGTATTGGATCATTCACAACTTCTGGAGGCAAGCTGTTCCACTGATTAATTGTTCTGACAGGAAATTTCTCCTTAATTCTAAGTTGCTTCTCTCCTTGATTAGTTTCCACCCATTACTTCTTGTCTTGTCCTCAGGTGCTTTGGAGAATAGCTTGACTCCCTCTTCTTTGTGACACCCCTTGAGATATTGGATATTTTCTGAGATATTTTCTTGCAGATGTTTCATTACCCAAACTCAGGTGCTACTGCTGATGTTACCTAATTTGGCTAATGAAATGTCTGCAAGAAAACAACCGAACTCAGGGAGCACCAAGGATCCCTCACTTCTAATTTTTTGAAAGCTGTAAGAGGAATGTGAAGGTACAGTACAGTAAAGATCAGGCACATTTCATATAGTGGCCCCATAAAAAAACCATAACACTATTGAAACAATTTCTAGTTGTATGAAATGTGTAGGTCTGTTGGATTTTGACTCTACATTATTAAAGTACATGTCCAGTGGGTCTTTTTTTGGTAATGCCTCCTCCTATGTTTACATTTTACACTGAATCTAGTAGGCAGCTGAATCAAATTGAATCCACCAGGTGCAGGATAACCACTGTAAAATACAATATTGCTCTCCTATGGATCCAGAAGACAGAAGAAGGCAATCACAGCCATTTGGCCAACTTAATACAGAGTCATTTAACTTACTTCAACTGCATATTAATAGATAAATAGCTCTTCATGAAATGTTTCAACAGAATAAATTACACAGCACAGGATCAGACAAGGAATATTAGCAAAGACGTAAGATATAGATCAAGATCCCCCCCCCCCACTTTAATACAAATTACTCTGGTAGGGATTATAAATAGCCTACCATGATTTATTTTTGTGTCCATTTATCAGAATGAAGAAGAAAGCTAACACCAGAAAACTAAATCAAAATATACATTTCATTAAAAAAAATGTACAGGCTCTGGTGTGTTCTTACAACATGAATATAAACAGAGGTGTTACACAGCGGTGGGATTTACTTAGGTTTACCACTGGTTTGCAACTGTGAGCGCATGCATACATGCACACAGAGCCAAAAATGAGGCTACATAGGATGTTTTGGAGCTGAGGTAGGAGGTGGGCGCCCGCAGTTCGGCACTACTAGTTCAGGTGAACCAGTCCGAACCGCCTGAATACCACCTCTGGTCTTACACCTATTGAATTATCTGTTCTCAAAGGCAAAGATCTCTTCTAGGTCTACTACTAGAGATGGGTGGTTTCTCCATCACAGAACAGTTGCTTTCCAGCATCTCTAAATAAGGTTGGGAAAAATCAGGGCTGCCCTGAGAAACATTTCCTACCACGAAATGAACCAACAAAGATGATACTCCTTCATCACCATTCCACATGCAGGAGCAAACATTTAATTGTCAGGTCAACACTGGTGATGGGATGCTGTCCTTCCTCCAAACCTGACAGGATGCAGCTACTTTAAAAGTTGAAGAACACGCTGAGCCGGACAAACAGTTCAATCCTCAACTGAGAACAGAAAGGAGCTGCTGCAGTTACTTTGAGCGCTTGCTGTCAGAAGCAGTTCTCTTAATCTCTCTACTGCCAGGGCTGATTCTGAGAAGGACCTTTCGCAGAATAAAACCAGACAAGCCAACACTGTGATTCGCTACAAGGCCATTTTCTTTTACTCCAGCATTCTCTGGCGTGTCCAGTAGATGCTTCAACCCTGTGCAAGAAGTTCACTCAAAGTATCTTCTGAATCGGCCACGATAAGATAAACCAGAGATTATTCAGATTGTACATTCAGTTGCAGGGAAAGGTACTTCCCTTAGGAGGGGACAAACATACAAGCTTTTAAAGTTTTACGTTACAGCCTTATGCATGTTTACCTGACTGCAAACCTCTTTTTTTGTCTTTAAACAAAGAGGGAATTTGTTCTGAATAAATATGCATAGGGCTACCCTCAGAGATCTTAGAAGTGGACACAGACATCAAGTCCAGTCAACGTTAAGACTTGTAGCCTGCAAAGAAAGAAAGGGAGAAAGGAAGAAGCCATAAATTAAGAGAGACGTTTCAGTGATGTGGATGAAGCACCGTGTCAGGCTCCTATACAAGACACATGCATGACCAAATCAGAGGAGATTAATTAAAGAAAAAGGACTGGTCTCTGCTCGCATCCTGCAGCTCTTTGTTCATTAATACTGAAAAAAGACAGGCCCAGTTGAAGTGTTCTGACAGAAATGCTCATGCAGATTTAGTTCCTCCCCAGAAGTCTCTCTCTTTCTCTCTCTCCCCTCTGTTTTGATGCTGATTGGGTACTTCGTGACACTAATGGCATCTTTCCCTTGGTAGCAGAAAGTATAATGTGCATAACCAATGGCTGTCAACATTCAAGATCATCTCCTCTCACTATGCGCTGGCAGGTTTCACCATGAACAATGAATGCCAATAAGGAGGGCCTACAATACTATTAAAAACTGCTCCCAGGGGTAGAAATCTCAGCCCCTGAGTGAAATATTCACACATGTATTGTGATTTTGATGGGAAAAGAGCCAACAGCCACATCCTGCCCTCCTGAAGTGCTGAAATGTTTAACAAAATCAGCCAGATCTTCTGTCCTGCCTGACAGGTTTGTAAGTGTTTCTACTTATAAATCAAAATGGCAGGCACCTTGGAATTACAACAAGCAGCAGAGATGTTGGAGGAATTATAATGCTAATTAAAAGGCTTTATAATGTCCACGAAGCATGATTAATAAACGAACTATTACCTAGTGAGAGGTATTTGTTACCTTGCATAGTGTTTTGTGGATAGTCTGTTTCGTCAGAATTCCTGCAGTAATTTTAAAAACAGGTCACTGTTATCTTCATAACCCTCGAAAGGAGTGTGTCAGTGTGCGTGTGTAT